ACGACACGTTTGTGAATGGTAGCCTTGTTCCGCTGTGGAACGAACGTGTGCATGTGAGATGCAGTGTATGAGAGATTTTGCTGTGGCGCTGTTGAAACGAAACGGTTTTGACCGTATTCATGTTTTCGCGACACAGGAGACATTCATAGGGATTTCAGTTTCCTAGCAGTTGCAAAACCGCCTACGGTGCGGGTCAACATGACCTGGACATTAGGTGACTTTCGTAAACAACAAAGAAGAATGGCAGTCGTATTTTGTCCTTATCGGATTGTGCGAGGAACTTCGTCCAAATGATCCTCGCCATGTGATTTATAGCGATTCAGGTCCTACTGCGACACACAAACACGGACGACCTTTATGAGGGCGAATACTCTTACGTTATGTACGTAACACGACAGGTTAATGGCGATAGGATGAGACAGGAGACGCACGGAAAAACAACAGCGACTGAGATTGCGCGTATATCCCTTTTCTCTAGGTAAACACGGATATTGTTTACCGGCCCTGCACATAAGCCGTCCGAAATCACGGCATGCAAAGGGGCAATAAACGGCAGTAACCCTTCCATCATGATCCAATCCTACCCTTCTTCCTTTATTATGCTTGTTTTTGTTTCTTTCGTTCGCATCTTTCTCCTCATCTCCTGGAGATTCTTCCTTTGTTCAAGCGATATTTACGACCAATTCCCACTCTCCAGACGCTGTCTCTGGATGACAGGTAAATGCGCCTACCATTCCCGATTCTAGTACGACACACCTTTATGGGTCATCAGATCCACCCGATAGGTGGGGCCCTCCAAAGGACGATGCAGGTACCATTTACTCCCCCCCCTTCGAGACGAATGGAACTGCCGTTCCAATGTCTTCCGTCTACCCCGTTCGGACCCGCCCCTTTCGGAAGGTGGTTGGTCATACCCCATTTGTCCTTACAGGGGCAGTGACACTTTTTCTCTTCCACTGTACAGGGTGGCCGAAAAGTCACCGTACCCCTATCTAACTTTTCATATATTTTCACATATTTCATGAAGAGAGATCTAAAAATGCCCGTGTGCACATCTCACACGCCCGCTCAACACAGAGGCGCGCGGGCCTGACGCAAAACGGCGCATGCGCGATCGGCTAAGCGACTTCTGCAATAGCTCAGCAGAATTCAGTTTTGGCGGTTAATCATGGCGGGCACCAGTAGCTACACCATTGAGGAGCGCTTAGTGGCGAACGTGTGGGTACATGAAAGACAGCACACCGGACAGGTGATGGCAGTGTTCCAGGCAAGATTTGGAAAGCCACCTCCACGCAAAGCAACATTATTAGTATGGGAGAAACGAGAAGCTGTCGCAGAAGTCGCCTAGCCGGTCGCGCATGCGCTGTTTCGAGCCAGGCCCACGCTCCTCTGTGTTAAGCAGGCGTGTGAGATGTGCACACAGGTATTTTTATCTCTATTCAGGAAATATATGAAAAGGTAGATAGGGGTACGGTGACTTTTCGGCCACCCTGTATATATCTGTTTTCGAAGTTCGCAGCCAGTCTTTTGGCAGCTCCATGATCAACATGTTCGTGGATATGGACCCTCGCGACCCCACAACTGCACTGGGAGATACCTTCACCTCTGTCCACGACGTCCACCACGACGTCCATGAAGAGAACTGGGAAAACGATTTAATCGACGTCAGCCCGCTGGAAGCCATCCGGCTTCGGAGTCAGTCGTCTCGCCTTCAGCGCGCCATACGAGGTCCCTCACCCCCACCGTGCGGTGACACCCCGCTGCAGGACACCTCCACAATGACCGGAAAGGGCGACCAAGAGGAAGAAAGTTGGGAGGATGACCCCGTGGAGATTGCCCGCTGGTGGGCATTCAACAGCGAAATCTTCTCCGCCTAGGTTATACTTTCCCTCGATCACTGAATCGGCACTCCAGTTACGACTTCGGTGGACGTGCATCGCCACACGTCCCCGAGTCCACACCGCTGCAGCCTCCCTCACCAAGTGAAGCACTGTCTTCACCCCCATCCCCTCCTGAGGACCGAAGCAGTACTGCTTCCACTGGACCAAGTCCAATTCCTCCTCGCTCCCCAATGCAACAACCTCTAAAAGGATTCTCCTCCAATCCGACTATCATCGTCCTGGCGGGTGAACATATTCACCTACATTTATCTTCCGGAAACTCTGGATCGTCGGCTTCTCCTCGTGCCTAGTGTCGTGAGATGGAGTGTCGGCATCTACTCACCCTTCGGATGAAAGACCGTACTTGGCTCCGGAGGGATGACCTGGCTATACAGGTATCCACACAATCTGTGGGGTGGCTCATGACCACCCTAAGGACAGACAGGTTCGGGTGAGCAGTGTTCGATCTCCATCCCTCTACACTACTTCTACTCGTATCACGTGTCTATATCTGGTGCGTTTCCGATAAGCGCGTGTGTTTTGTGGGATATTTGTATTTTGTAGGTGCCGTAGTGCCCTTTACCCCCCTTTTGGTTTTTTGCCTTCCCCTGTGTGCCTAATTTTTTTTCTCTCTTCTCGGCTCTTCTTTTTTTTTGCAAGTGATGCCGAATTTTTCCCTGTATCTATGACTTGTACATATGCAGTCTCGCGTTTGTGAGCGGCTCGTCAGGCGTTGTTCATGGAAACCGGCCATATTCCATGGCCCTCGGAGATGTTGACCTGATCGCGCAAAGGCGACCAGGAATTTGAACGTGGGGGATGTGGAGTTCTCGTGCCCATGGATGAGCAGAGGGGAAGAGTCCCCGAGTCACTATGCCGAGTCCCCATAGCGGACCTCCTCTCGCCCCTTCACGCCCTCACCTCTGCCCTACGCCGCAGTCCGTCACGAACCCTCGGCCGGACAACACGTGGGCGCGTGAGTGCGCCAGGACCCTTCGGCCGGACAACACGTGGTGTGTCGAGTCACGCAGGTGAGGGTCATCACAGCCGGTCAACTCAGTGAACCGCGGTGTGAGCCCCGAACTGCGTGCTGGTCTGTATAGCGAACTGCTGTAGACTCATCACGAGCCGACGACCTGGACCACGGTCGGCGGCCAGGAACCAACACATGCGATCGTCTACGTATCAGGACGAAGTGCGTGCGAGTCCCCAGCTACAACCGTGATAGCAGCCCTATTGAAGCAAGGTTCAGTAAAATCGTACACAAAGGCTCTCTTCTTGCAGTATCATCAAGAGGAATGAAGAACAGAATGACTAATGGAAATAAGATTATAAGAATTGTTGATCCAATGGCTTGAAATCAGAGTATGCATCCATTGGGTTCCTGATCCATCACTTGGGTGGAGTGGGAATGATGTGAATGGCAATGCAAATGGCTTTCTTCCACGAGAAGAGGAGTTCCTGGACGGGTGCCTATTTATGAACGATTTCGCGTTTTCTGCCATCCAAAAAATATGCCAGGAAATTCATAATCTTGACTGTTCCATGTTCTGATCACGCCAGTGGGCCACCATATAAATTAGGCATGCCTATTAGCAGGAGTCAACTTTAACATTTTCACTTCGTTTTATATGTACGACCCCTGAATTTGACGCGCACCCAAAGTTGATTGAACCCAATATGTGTTCATGATCTGTGGTCAGGTGTGCCTTGTGGGTGTTTGGAGAACTGAAACTGAGTCTGAAGGGCCGTAATTTTTCCTCGGATTTTGAAGTCAAGGATGCCAAAACCGACATACTGCAACAGTTGCAAAAACGTTTTCACAAAAAGAGTATCAACAGGTTGGTGAGACAATGGTATAAGTGCCTTAATGCATTTGGAGATTACGTGTAAATAAATGCACCAGTTTCCATAATACGTGCCCTGGCCCTTTTACTATTAAATTGGATAGCATATGAAATCAATATTTAAACTCTCATGTTGCCAAATATGTACGTCTGAAAATAACTTCATGGTTGAGAGAAACAAGCACGTTAGAAAACATGCTGAAAAAATAGGTTCAGGTTCTCACCTAATTTCATATGGAGGTTGGTAATTTCTAGGGACAAAGGAATTTTACCATTTTTGTGCTGATTTGCCCTCATAGCTCATCATATTGTACTCTCAGAAAATGCTGGATCTATCCAGCACAGACCTTCCTGACGACAAGTTTTTCCAATGAAACTTTTTGTATTGTTCATTTCCCAATTTCCCGAGACTGTTCAGTCTGTTAGCACTTTTTTTGTTGAACTTCCTTAGTTGTAACTTGAATTTGAAACATGTCAACTTCAATAGTTGCTCCTCAGATGGTCAAGGCTTCTTCAAGGATGAACAAAGCCAAATTTCAATGAACCATTAAATAGTACTGTAGAGTAACTCATTGACATCTCCTATATGGCTTTATGAGGAGATAATTTCTTTTTTAAATGATGAAATTAATGACTTGAAACTCCTCCCTGACCCTGTCACTTGATATACAAACTGGCACAAGATGCAGACTGCTACTCCCTGAATCCCCTCAGCCTCTCTCAGAAAAGACTTCACCGACAGAATTTTCTGAGTCTATGTGATCTTTTTATAGAACGAAAAAACTTATTGGATAGCCCCTCATAATATGTATTACTCTTATTAGCTCATCATCCTTTCCTGCTACCCAGTTGATATCATTTTAACCCAAGTTTACGAATTTCCCTTCACTTAATACCTCCTCCCCTCCCACAAGTCACCTTTGTGTCTCTGCATGAATATGTCTGGGATCAATGAACCCTGTGTTCATAAATGAAAAGCTCAGCAGATGAAGGATCAAATATGAAAAGGGGAGTTTACATTAACTCCTTCCACACAGCTCTTCAATCAATGAATACTTTTGTATACCTTTGGTAATCCCTCTATAACAAAAAAGAGGACTATTATATACTTTCTATATTTCATACCCTCAGCAAATACAGATGTTGCCTCAATCTCTGGTGACGTGTCATTCTCTGCTGTCCAGCTTTTTCTGTTTATTCTGTATGGGTGATGCCTTATTGCTGCTGCAATAAAGTGAAAATCTTGTGTTCAACATCTGATAGCATAGAAAATGCATTTATTCAATTAAACATGGTGAACTAGATTTGATGTAAAGGTGCATATAAACATTATGATATTCAAATAGTGTCACATGTCAGTCACTAAGTCAATTACAGGAAAAGTGCAATTCATGCAGTGATTTCAATTGAAACATGACTACTGTAGCTTCTGGGAGGAATATTACACAGAGTACATGTATGGCTCATCTTTGCATGGTAGTGGAGGAGGGGTAAATGGAGAGAACCATTGCACCCCAAACCGACCAAACACAGCCTCAACACTCTTCCATTTGGACTTTCGAACCCACCTAGCTTCTTCTTTCTTCAAAGACTCAATACCCTACAAATGTACCAAAGCAGCATTGAATAAGTTCCTATAATTCTCAAAGCTATTCCAATGGGCATGCAGTATTAGTGAGGTACATTTTAAATATTAATTTGTGCCCTAAGTTGACATGAAGAAAGTTAAACACCAGTCAAGTAAATGCAAAGATGATGAAGTGGAACTCACAGTCTCATCATTCCAGATGGCAACGATTTGAGAGCCAAACATGACAGCAGTGAAAATGGCAAATAGGACAGCCTCAAACACCAGGAATAACAACAGGACAACGGTGGATGGTGGTGTGTACAATGAACATTCCTTCCATTCCGTATGGATGCACAACAGGAAGTGATTGATAGCCAGGAATAGAGCATGTATCGATATCACAGCTATGTAGAACTGCACAATACAAAGCACAAATGACACGCATAAGTTATGTATACAGCACATATTACTATATTCTTTCTAATGGCAACATTGAACATTTTTGACAAAACCATTACTTCATGTCGGTCAGTGCTACAAAGTAAAGAGGAAAGATGCCTGCAGCTGGACCACTCTCTCCCAACATTTCTCAGTTTTTATTTTTAGGTTAAAACAAGAATATAGATATGGGGTGTGGCCATTTTAGGAATTTTTACCTTCTCAAGTCCAGTTGCATGTAAACTATCCCCATATTGCAGTCTTGTTTGGCCTGATTGAGTTATGATCATCATTTTTGAAAAACAAACTGTCATATGAAAGTAAATGTCTCCAAAAGCATAGGCAAAAAAATCAGTGACTCACCGTGAAGAGCACAAAGAACTTCTGATTGTTCTCTCCAACACAGTTGTTAACCCATGGGCAATGATGATCCATTTTTCTGATACACCTATTAAGAAATTTATTAAATTCATGTTCACTCTGAATCTCCATGTTCAAAAAAGGAGAGCCAAAGCCAGAGTTTTGTTGCAAACCAATGCATGACGAGAGAATTGAACGACTTCCAATTCTCAAATACTGGAACTAGTTCACTGGCACAGGAATTCTTCTATGGGAACCACTTTGAGTTCAAGTCAAGATGAGAGAAATTAGCCCAAAAAAATTGCAACAGGTATCATTTGTAAGATGTCAAAACAAAGATGAAAGATATAAACAAAAGGTTTTTAAGGCATAAGATATAACTGAAAAAAAAAGAATTCCAGCTAATTATTTCTCAAGGCCTTATTTAGGCACAAGAACTCAGCTAGGGTCCTGACCCAATACCTTCAAAATGTTCCTGTTTGATAACAATCAAAGATATAATAAACATCAATTTTCTTCCCAATCAAGAACATGAATATTTCATGAATTCTGCATTTCCCCAAACTGGGAGTCTTCAGTTATTATACAAGAAAATTAAATTGGCAATCAGAAACCCAGTGCAGTGAAGAGCTAAAAGAAATAGTTTAAGTCAATGAAGTAAAACTACTGTTCATGAAAGAAAAGTTGAAAGTTTAGTTAAAAAGTTGAAATACATTTGATGTAGTCTCACTACTTGTTTTAAACCCAAAGAACTATTCCTCTACATATATATAAATGTATTGCCCTGTTCCCGTCAGTTTCAGTTTCTGGTGTCAAACAGAATAAAATAATAAAAAATATAAAACTACTTTACCTGTGGTAGACATACAAGGACAGTGTAATAAAAGCTGCTAGTTTCTTGCATGATTCATCAAAAGACTAGAAGGAATAGGTCACCAGCATTGTCTATAGATGACTCTGCTTGCATGATGAGATTTCTCACATCGTCAAAATTACAATAGGCCTTCTTGTTTCCTATCAATACAACAATTGGCAGCAATGGTATTGTGAACCACAAAAGTTGGACACCCTTTCTCTGTAAGGATCACATAATTATAGCAAGAAGTAGCACTATCAATCTTGTAGTTAGATTGCTTGAGTTCAACTATATTAATAAAAACAGGTAAGGCATGAGTTAGACAAACCATTAAACTGCTTTTCAGCAAACAGCAGTGAGCAGTTTAATTTATTGTTTTTATGCAATGTATATACCAGTTTTTTAATAGTAGCTTATGTCCAACAATGGAAGAAAGGGTCTCTCAAGGTGTTCCACAAAACCAAAAATAGAGACAGAACTTCATGACATGCTATATTTTACTTGGGGCTTCATCCATGAGGAGACTGACTAGGGACAATTTACATGCAGTGGAAGGAACATGAGGTTCACCTAAACAAAGTGATTACACCATACCTCTGGCAAACAGAGCAATGATGAGCCCTCTCAGGCTTAATGCAACAGCATTTTGGACATTTGAAGGTAACTGAGCCCTCTCTCAATCCCATCCTTTGGATGTTCTCCCTAGTTGCATTTCCACGGGGAACTGCACCCTAGAAAAATGATTATTTAGTCAAAATTGACAAATGACAAATAGCAACTACACCTGTATGTAATAAACATAAACAGACAAGTACTGGGCATTGCAAAAAAAAAAAACTAATTCATCTTCACTCACACTGGAGCTATAAGGGGAGTTCAAGGTCCAATGGCACTTTATTTTCCACATGAGCAACAGGTTAGGCAAGAGCAGTGAAAATTTGCATAAATGTTGCTGTAATACTGGGTGACATGACCTGAAGATGAAGGGTGGATGAGTGATCCTTGTAGAAGAAAACAAGATGGCGTCAGGCACTATTACTCCAGCATTGGAACAGAGATGTGTAATCAAATTTCTGGTGAAGGAAGGTGTCAAGGTGGTGGAAATCCATTGCAGACTAACATAACAGATTGGTAATGCTGCTCTTCCAAGGTGAACGGGTTACTGTTGCCATGACATGTTTAAAAATAGTCGTGAATCAGTTACCGTTGCATATTGTGTGTATCCACCAGGCACAGCTGTGACACTGGTATTGTGTTCTGGGAAATATTGGGTGATTCGTGTGGAAATTCTGAAGTGCAGTAAAATAGTTGATACAAAGTACTACAGTGATCTTTTGAAAGGCAAAGTGCAGCAGGCGATATGAAAGAAACGCCCAGGGCAACTGAGTAGAAGTGTGATAACGTTTAATGACAATGTTTGCCCTCATTTGGTGAACATGACTGTCACAACCATAAGCCAATGGGGTTGGGAGATTTTTGAACACCCCTTAGAGTCCATATCTCTCCCCAGGTTACTTTCACATGTTAGGACCTTTAAAAAAAAAAAAACATTTGTCTGGGTATAAATTCAAAACAGATGAAGAGGTGCAGAATTGTGTCCTCTGTTAACTCCAACACCAACCTTAAGACTTTTTTGCCAGAGGCATACACCCACCAATGGGAGAAGTGTATATGTGTAAAGGGGTAATACATTGAAAATTAGACAATGTTTCATGGATGTATCTCTTTTTGTGGCTTCTGTGGAAAATAAAGTGCCATTGGACCTTGAACTCCCCTCGTATTTTCACAAATTTTTCTTTGCATAGATATGTTTCTGGCACATCTTTGGAATTTATTTCTAATTTTTTTGCTCTGAGGCAAGACTATGAGCAATATTTAAAAAGAAGGAGGATAATAAAAATGTACATGAGCTCATGCTGGTAGTGGAGAGTAAAGTGTTATGCTAGCATATCATCCAAGTCACATCTACACGGGTCAGTCAAATGAAAACGAGAATTATTATTTTTCTTGCACTACTTGTATGCGCGCTGCCGTGGTAAAGAGTTGTTGGTGTCAACAGTACTCATTTGAGAATGGATTTTGGTGGGTGACACACCTTTCAGAAATTGAATAACAGCACACCGGGCTTCCTTGGACGCACGAGGCACTGTGAGCGCCATGTTGCTTAAACGATTGCACCTTTTTTTCTGATCGCATGGTGTTGCCAGTTATGACAGATAATCACGCAATCTCCGAAAACATGCACTGAAAGTATTGGACATCCATCAATAGGGAATTACTTTATATCACGATTTTCTCATTTTCACTTGACTGACCCTCATAACTTCACTCCCTGCACAACTCAGTTTTTCACCTGACCTTTTCACACAGGTAAGAGGGATGATCAAAAAGTTTCTGTCCTGAAGTAGTAAAAGTAATTGTAGAATGTTGAAAGTTGGTTCCCATACTTATTCACCCTGATTCACAATTGCAAGTATCAACAATTGGCAACAGTTGGTTCTGGCAGCATTTTAGAAATATATTTTGCCTTCAATTCCAGCCCATTATTCCATTGCAAAATGGTAAAATGGAATACAGATCAGTGATGCAATTTTTATCATAAAAAAAATAAATAAATAATTTGATATCAGGTACTTTACCCTAATAAAACCGTTTACTCCATGCCGTACAGTAAAAAAACTTTTTAGAAATAGCTACGAAGGTGAAAATGAATTCAATGAAGCTTTCCAAGCATTTTTAAACAACTGTGGAAAATTAATTTCCTCTAAAAAGATTGAAGCATTATTCCATTAATGACAAAAGTGTCAATGTCAAGGGGAGTAATGTTGAAAAATAAACTCATAGCATTTCTTATATCTCAGGGGAAAAACTTTTGAATCGTCTCTCATAGTTTTGATTAACTATTCCAACAAATGACAGATGAATCAATAAGTATCAAAACTGAGTTTGTTCTGAGTTTCCCTTGGCTTTTATTGGAGAATAAGGCAAGAGGACTTGGAAGTTAGGAAGACACAGTACTCAGAGGGGTTTGGAATCCTAAGTCCATTTCCAGATTCTTTTGAGCTCATTGCCTTGCTTGGCAAGATCAAATTTTATGAAATTTCAAATATATGTTGAGAACACGTGAATACATGCAAAATGCAAGTTTTGTGAAAGTAGCTCTAGTCAGAGCAGAAATACAAGATAAAAAGTTGAATACCTATATTTTGCCATATGCTGTACATGATATGGCTGGCTTGAAATACTCCTGTGATTGCAAACTATTCAGCAATGCTTTCATAACAGTTACACATATTTGCATTGATCAAAACAGCAATTACATGGACATGACTTACTAGTACAATACACATGACTAACTAGAACCACACTGAAAGAAAGAAAGAAAGAACTGAGGAATGAACATTACAAGAAATTCATTAAGTCTGTGCTGAGCTCAACCTCATAATGGCTAATTTTAACAGCTCCAGGATTTATGTTGAACAAAGAATTTGATTTTTCCTTAACAAAAGCTAAGATCCAAATGAAACCTCACCTAGCAAAATCGAATGTTTACAGAACTGGAAACTCACAGGATCAGAAAGCATTGTCCGAATGTGTGATGATACAGCCAAAAATGCAAGAAGTTGAAAGATGACCATGTTGATGGCATTATACCAGGTGAAGATGCCATCAAATTGTAAAATGACATAAACTACCACAAATTCTGCATAGAGCAGAAGTGACCAGGTCATTATTGCACATATTAAACCGAAGATGTCTTTGATGCACCAGAATCTTTGACCACAGCATCGATTGTGTCTATCTGCTTTGAGGCGTATGGGTCTGAAGGTGCCTGGGACTGGTTCAATGTTGACCTCCATGACTGACATGGAAGCATTTCCTCAAGTCAACCTGAAGCTTAAGCTGTCTTCAGGATAAGCACAATGCCCTCTACAAGAAAGAGTTCCAACCCTGGAATATCACACATAGTTTCTTCTCTGATATTGAAGAGTATCATGGGCCAAGACACTTGGCAAATAATCTGAAAAATGAAGAAATAGGTTTGACATACAAAGGCACAAAAAAAAATCCAATTAGTTAAGTAAACTCTGGATATTTTGGCATCCTAAGCTAGTATATAAAGTACTGGGAGATTACAGGGGCTCTACAGAGTGCAGAAAAAGTTCTGGAACCAGAATTTGTTCATAATTTCTGTCTTTGAAAATAATTTTGTTCATTCGAATTTGCATTGTTTATCAATTGTAATATGTTTTCAAGGGTTGCTTCTCGATATGTCTAAGCTTTGGCATATTTTCTGATATTATCTGTCCTTTATCCCCTTTTTTTATGATGTCTAAACAAGATCAGTGAATCACAATAATCGAGCTGCACAAGAAGGGCAAAAGCAAGGTTGAAACTGCACATTTGTTTGAGATTCTAAGAAAAAGAGTCTGGCTAGCTGTCGTTCGGTTTGAAGAGCTGAATACTGCTGAAGATTGACCAAGATCTGGCCATCCAAGAACCGCAAACACTCAAAAGAACAAGAAAGCCATCCAGTTTCAGATCAAACGAAATTCAAGAAGAAATGAGGAAGATGGCCAGAGAACTGAAGATCAATGAACAAACTGTGCATTGTATCGTCAACAAGTTTACATCAAGATGGTCTTGGAGAAATTCCTTGTTCCATGGGCTTAACAACATATTGGACAACATGAATGGAATTTTCAGTGGGACTCTGCACCATCTCACAAAGCCAAGATCACTCAAGAGTTTCTCTGAAAGAATTGTCTGAGATTCTTCACCCCGGACGAATGGATGGCCAACTCGCCCGACATTAACCCAATGGTCTATTCCATTTGGGGAATGCTGCAACAAAAGTTTGCTCAAAAGCTCAAAAAATGTTGGATTTATTGAAGCAAGATCTGCTCCATATCTGGGAAGAAATCAACAAAGCACAGTTGCATGCCATCGTTGAAAAGTTTCCTCGTCATTTGGACGCTCTCATTGAAGCCAAAGATGGTCATTTTGAAAATTATATTTAAAGCAGTCTTCTGCTATGTATCCTTTATCATATTATTCCTTCAGCTGGTGAATTTTCATTTTGTTTCAATTAAAATATTTTAAAAGAGTTGGCTCCAGAACTTTTGCCACACCCTGTATATATATCCATCTCATGGAATAAAACCCAAATAAGATCAAGAGTTCTAGTTGGAAGTATGAAGGGATTCAAAACAGGAGAGTAGCTCAGCATTGATTTTAGGCCTAGATTGAAATTGCCAAAATTAAAAAATGTTCACAGCCAATGAATAAGCCCACAACTTTTACACCAGCATTTCCCCAGCATACTATGATTTGGTTATTTCCAGTTCATCATGGCCATGTGATCTAGAAATGGGTTGCCTCCCAAGGCCTGAGCCAAAAATGGATGTGTTAAGGTAGCAAGTCCCAGCTAAGCATTTTAAGATGCTGGCAGGGCAGTCTTTATTTTTACAAATGGTCATTAATAACACTAGCAAAATAGTTAAAGGCTCCAGAAGTTGGTTCTGGAGGATATACAGATCTTCCATGCACTATGATGCTGCCATGTTCACTCACTGTCAGCTTTGCCACACATACATATCTCATCCTACAGATATAACCTATGAGGAAGCAAAGTAATTGAATACTATAGCTACATTTTGACAGCAAATGACATTTGGAAGGGCTTATGGGCTTAGTGGTCAAAAAACCATACAAATGCTCCAACACCTATTACAGAAGTCTTATGATTTTTAGATATATGCCACATACTCCTGAAAAGCTAAGGGCTGAAATTCTCCCCATATTCTGCATCATCTCCTAAATTCTGTTGGGCTTTTTATTGTGACCCTTAGCTTGAGATAGATGGCATGGAAGGAACATGAGGGGTGAAATGAAATGGACTTGGAGAAGTTTGGTGGGTGTGTAATATAGTTTGGGTGGTTGAGGTATACACAAACCATTCAATACCCAGGCGTGCATTTCTTTACCCTAACGTTACTTTCACTTTTTCGAGGAGTCCACCACAGTGGAATGATGGAGCAATACAACGATATTTTTTACTCCTGCAAGTCAAGGCCTCGGAAGACTCCTAAGTCAACTAGAATTGTATCCTTCCTGATGCTTTTACACGCTACGTGCATTACAATAAACAATTCCGGAGCTGGCCAAGGCAAAACGTGAGCGGGGTAGGGATAGGCCTGATCTAGGCTGGGGACGAGCCTAACCTAACGAGGCCGAGGCTTAGAGGCTTGATTAACTTTAAATGAACTGTCTCACATGAAATAAAAATATATTCTTAGCTCTGAGAAATCTTTAAAAAGCGCTTTTAAAAGGTTTCGCCTAGATGAATGACAACAGATGGGACTCTGTGACAACCATAAAGCGTACATAGATGTCACTGGAGAGGACATCAGCTGATCCACTGTGTCCCTCGAGCCCGCCATATTAGGAATCTACCGCTGCTGTTTCACCCACATGCACAGCGCTGATACGTCTTGTGCAGTCCTGCATTTTTTAAAGTTTGAATCAGATTTTCTCACATTCCCGTCCCTTGTGCCGTTATTACTTAGTCGTTCCTGTGTCATCTGTGTAATAAGGCAGTGAAACAGAATCTGACTCGGCCGAACAAGATAATGTTGCTACTTGTTAGTCCGAGTTCAACCCCGTCAGTAGGCCAGGCCTCGACCTAGCCTGATGCCCATTAGCAATATGCAGTCCTCGACTGTGTTTTATGAAACATTATGCTCGGCTGGGACTCATGTTGGCTAGTCGTGGATTGATGCAATTCTTTCTGAAGTGCTTCATCCAATGTTATTTCTTATTTGATTGTGTTCGCTTGCATTCAGATGGTGGCAAGGTGTGCAGCTGTGAATTGTAATAACAGGTTTGGTGATCACAAGGAAACTGCAACAGGAGGCATCAAGATCACTTTCCATAAGTATGTTGAAATTTGACTCACAACCTTGAGAAAATTTGTGCATGATTTATTGAAATAAAGTAAATTCAATACAAATTAAGGTGATGCTTGTTTTCATGTCAACCAATGCTTTCATATCTGGATGTTGAATTGCTTGACTTTACAAGTCCTTTGACACTATCACAACCAGCAGCATGGCATGGCATGGTAAAGGGGGGTACAGAGCAGTAGTTGAACAAGGTATTAACCCAGCCAAAAAAGCTGGCAGGTTTCCCAAGAATAATGAAACCAGGAAGAAGTGGCTGGTTGCAATGAGGAGAGAAGGATTCACACCTCTGGCAACAGACACACTATGCAGTGAGCACTTCGAAGAGCAATGCTTTGACAGGACAGGACAAACAGTAAGGCTTCAGGATGCATCTGTGCCAACTCAGTTCACTTTCCCACCACATCTACAGAAGGTAGTCAGTCCTATGCTTGGATCCTGTTTCAGAATCTGGTTCACCCTTCATGCATGGGACTAAGCTTTGACATGAAACCCTTTTTTTCCACTTTTCCATAATCAGGTTGTTTATCCAAGGACCACACAAACTTCCCAGCGAGCAGGAGCATTGGCAGTTCTAGCAGATACTAATAATATACCCCCAGATTCTGAGTGCAGTGCTTCATCTTTCTTAGCAGAAGATCACTCCTATTCTATGAGGGAGAGCCCAAGAAAACTCAAGAGAAAGCTTAATGAATCATAGGAAAAGCTGAGATGTGTTTCAGATCAGCTAAAATACATGAATAGGAAACAAAAAAAGGCTAGAAAAAAAGTTACTTGCTTGCAGGACATCCTAAAGGAATTGCAAAGGGAACAGCTGATGAAGAATGATATATCAGACCTTCTAGAGCATTCCTTAAATTAAATGTTAAATGCATTCTTCAATGTTATTCCAAAGTCAGAATGGGACACATTGGGAAACAAGCTAATGCTGAGATTCAGAGTACCTCTGTCAGAAGGAAGCTCACCAAAGCAATTCTTTTTTACCACCAGTGAACCAAAACCTGCATGCTTCATTTCAATATTTTCTTCCTGCAATAAAGCAGAAAATGTATCAATGGTTCATAATGAAAAGATATGGGTCAAGGTTTTTCACCAGATCACATTGAACTTCGGAGCCAACAGAAGAAAGGGAGAAAACAATTACACTGCCTTATAGTTCATGGGGACTCTTGATCCATCATGAGATCAAATAAAACATCACTTTTAAAAAACTAGGCCAGGCTTTCGGAAGTAGGTACAACACACCCTCCAAGCACACTCGGGTCCTTTTCGTGTCTTCTGAACTTCTTGATATCATATCTCAGTAGTAACATTTCCAGATTTAGACTAATCGACGTTTCAAGAGATTTCTTAGCTGCGAGATCGTAATTGTCTTCACTGGGGAAGGTCCACCTCACAGATTTCCAATATGGCACGTGCGAGGGTCATAAGACAGGATTCGCCCACATGGCTGTGTCCCCTCCAGGTCTATTTACGCTCTATGGCCATTAAGCATTGGCTTTCCTGATATAGTATCTGTTTCTCTTATTATACTTTTACTTTCTCATGCATTCCATGCATATATATGGAATACATGAAATTATTATTAATTTTTTAAAATAACGGATGACTCAGGGAAGCATTAAATGTCGAAGTTCAGCTTTTAATTACATCAGTGCACTGTATTAGGGTAGATTATAATCCTTGTCCCACCACTGCGACACCTTATCTATCCTGAATTGAAGAGAGTTCATCTGAACATTATATCTTCTTCCGTGGTTCCGTTATTGGAAGAAAATGCTGTTGATCATTTTGGTACTCTTGCCTTGAGCGGTGGTGCGGATGAGTATTCGTGTACTTGTGTGAATCCCCCTAGAGTTCTTAAGTTTGGATGGTATGGGAGGTAACGTGTATTAATTTTCTTCAAAAGGTATTGATCGGCTCGTTAAATACACATAAATGCTGGTTTAAAATCAACCTAAATCTTAAGTAAAATGAATGTAAACATGCTGTTTGGAATGCAAACGGCTATGTTAATTTTACTTAAAATTTGCTTAATCTTTATATCACCGTTTAAGTATCACGAACATGACCTTTCTGCTAATATATGTTGACTTTATCTAGAGAATGGCATGTGTAAAAAGTGATTCAAAATGTGCAGAAAATTCACATTCATTTTACGTATAATTGACCTAAACATGCTGTTTGGTTGGGTAAGTTATTAGTCCCTCCCAATATGGAGTCGACAGTGTAGTCTCGCTCTGACTCGTCTGTGAATTCCCCTTGGAGGAAATCGACCATGAAATTGAGCCCCAAAACATGCCCTCTCGGTTGGTTTCCTCTTCTGAACTGATAAAGTTAAATTATGTAAGTACTTTCTGATTTAGATGTCTGATACAGCTAAAGGAAATAAGGCTTTTATGTGGGAAGATAGTACTCACAGATACTAGAGTACTCTCCAGTGGGATATTGAATCATATGTTCTATCTCATCGGCTAATTTTTTTTCTTTCAGACTCTGGACAAGGGATGAATTTACATAATGCGCGTTCGGTGAGAATTCAACATTGACACAACGTTACACAACATCTCTTCAGCTTTGAACTGTGTTTCATTTCAATATTTGGGCAACGTTGAGACAATATGACAATGTTGTAAATTCCACCTCTTCTCAACATTGAGGCAACATTGCCATCAACCTTTTCTCAACTTTGACAAAGGATTGTTGTGCCGATTGGGTTTATACCTCTAGGTTGAATTCACATTGACTCAACTGTCACCGTGGATTCACCCACATTGTTTCAATACTGCGCTATTCGCAGTTGGAGTGTCGACATTAAATCAGCCTCGATTCAATGTAACCTTTTTTCAGTAGAAAATCCCATGTGTTTTATGTCTACCGTTAGGATTCTTTTTGTGTACGCCATCAGGGTTCGTTAAATAGTTTAGCCAATCGGTCAGAATGCATTTCGATCAAGAAAAATGTTTGATTTAGGGCTAATGTGAAGGTGGCTGAAATGACGCGTGATGCAAATTCTATCGCAGTAAACAAGCAGAAAGTAGAAAGAAAAGAAGAAATGTTATGGTTTTTGGGAAATTGCTGTAAAATGATCCGGCGACTCCGACCCGGTCTGCTTGCGGAACGATAGGAACGGTGAAGGAACGTTCTGTTGCAGATGAGAACCTTCGATGTGGAATGCCGGAACGAGGAATCCGTCGTCGATGCCTTCTTGACGTGCTGCGGGCGAGCGAGAAGACAAGCGGTCAATGCGGCTTGCGGCGTCCAGCGATTGACCCGCTGTTCCGGGCTCGAAGGCGGGACGAGGAGGAATGCGTGGAGACGCGGGGGCGACTGAGTCATGGAAGGAAGAGGGGAGAGAACTAGCCGGCACTGGATGAAATAGATGTCCGGTTTGCTCGGTGGCAGCGGGTCTTGGTGCTTCTTTAACTGATTCTTTTCGAATGCGATTCGAGTATTGTTAGATTTCTCATCCTTATGTCACCGAGATGAAAAAATCTACTGCGCTCGGCGTTACCAATTCCCTCCCGGATCTCAGATGCCTGGATGGAAGAAGAAGTTCCAGCATTTAGTTCTTGCTTTCTTTTCTTGCTTTCGGCCTGGTTTTATGTCATTCGGCTGCACGTCCTCTGACATCGCAACGTCCTACTTTCCTCGTTTGAGTGTCCCACCCCAAGACTTTGCCATCGCACGCTCTCGTAAGTGGCAAAACGGGAAAATCCATTCCAACATTTGTCGCCACCATGGCATAATTTCCTTCGATGTCGTACCATTTTTGCAGTAAAGCTGCAATTTCTGCCCGCTTGCTATTTTCATGATGCATATTGGCCTGAAAGATTCTCCACGTGAAAATATTTGGGACGGAGTGAAGGTGGCTCACCTCAGTCTATGGAAGAGACAGTGGCGAGCGTCATTTCGAGATTCGCACTCAAGCGAGGAATCGAAAGACATCAGGCTGAAAATTCCCGAGAGGCCCAACCGGTCTCCTATATGAATGAGCGCTTCCGTTTTGTCTGACCTCCTCGCCCTGCATGAATCCAGCCCAATTCGTCATTCCTCCCTTAACAACGTCTCGACTAATGTCAAGACCTCAGGCCCGAGCAGGGCAGCTTTCATGAAAGGCCGGAGTGGCCAGTCTTCGTGAAGGCGTTTATCTCTCTTAAATTTTAGCCTGCAGAATACTTATACTATGAATTGCAAATTGACCTGGAATTATATGAACGTTAAGTGACGAGCTCTTGGCAAGTGCAACTGAAGCTTCAGCTTATTTTCTTGGTTGGTAGATGGCGAGAGAAGCGGTATGAAGTTCTCTCTCTGATGTATGCTCATCAGCCTCGAGTGGAGACCTGCACGACAATGGAACATCCGCAGAATGGAGGAAGCGGGAGGGTGAGGCCCTGGTGCGAGTGTTCCGCAATGCGGGCAAAAGCGTGCCAGGTGTAGGCCTCTATTGAGAGCTTGCAGCAAGCGAATAACGTGTCGGAGACTCGGTACCCTGTGGAGGTGCAGACAGTCCTCTGGTTCGGAAGAGTCATCAACCTCTCTGAAGTTTCGGTTTCGACCATTCCTGTCATGTGACAAAATTCGTTTTTCCGATCGCGTGTTCCATAGTGCCAAGTCCTCACCCAAGCAATGTCTCGTCGGCTGCTACCGAGCACCTCCTACTCCCACGAGAATGTGAGCAAGACCATCTCCCCATCTTCCCACAACATGAATCTCCGGTCTCATGGCAACAATGTGAATGCCAACCAGGGCGCCAGCCCAAAGTCCCGATCCCGCATCAGCCTCGCATCCGCCAGGTAGTCCGTCTATCATTAATCGGGTCGAATGCGTAATCCTTCGTAGGCCTATATGCGATGAGACTAATAAAAAACTTCACATTGTTTGTTTAAAAATTGGAATTTAACGAAAACATTTATTTAATGGAAGCTAAAACTCTGTAATAGTTCGAGGCCAACATCCCCAATTCTGATGACATCTGAGATCAGATCAGGAACCCCCCTCCTGCATAAATCTTGGTTGTTACTTTCGTGAGAGACTTGTTTATGGATGTAGATCAGACTGCATCTTTTGAGCCCAATTTCTGCTCTGGCTTGCAGCCTCCAAGTTTCTACTCTGGTCTTTTATCAGGAAATGCAATTTTCCTTTGTTCCATTCATGAACGTACAGCCAGGAAAATAAAGGGTAGGAGGATACATTCAAATCAATGTAGGCCTACTAATATGGTTCATGGCATCAAACTCATTCATCTTGGGAAGCTGGATTTCGACTAGTTGATTGGTTTTTCACATATTTATACATTTCATGACATGCAGCACAATGTGTTACCTTCACTATGCTTCCAACTTCTATGATATTCTATGCCATGTTCAGTATTTTAAGGTGTAGGGTTGCCACATCTCTTGAGACAGATGGAATATGCCTGTTGATGAAGGTTTTCTTCATGGTGTGGGATTTGAAGAGCAACAAGGGATGATCTGTGGCATTCAGCCAGGAAGAGGATATTTATGCTATAAGGCACTGTTGTGAATGACTGTTTTAAACAGGTGCTGCATTCTTGTATGCCTTAGTACAGAGTGTTAAGAAAGTTGCATCCCATTGCAATATGCCCATAACCTCAGCAAAAAAAATCAGGAAAAAGTTGTTATGTACAATAGCAAGGACAGTTAACTAACTTAGAAGCACTTAATACATTTCAATATAGCGGCCCTTGGCATGGATGATGAGGTTCAGATGGCCCATGAGAGCATAGACTGATATTTGCAAATCTTCCTATGGAATTCGCTCCCATTCTTGGTTCAGGGATAGCTTGAGCAAATCCAAAGAATGGCGTTTGTGGCACAAAACTTTTCTCTCCGAGATGAACCAAATTGAAAAATCTAAGGGATTGACATTGGGGGAGAAAGAGGGCCATTGTGAAGTCAAAATGAAGTCAGGGACATTTGTCAGCAGCCATTCCTGGATCATCCATACCTTGTGAGCTGGCACTGAGTCCTGCTGGAAGACCCACCTGCCTCCATTGAAATTATTCGTGGCCCAGGCAGTCTTTTGGGATGCTTTCCCAGTATACTTCAGCATTGCCCTTCATCTTCTCAGGCATGAAAAGGAGTGGAGTGCATCCAGAAGCGAAGACTTGACCAGAAGACATCCAGAAGACTTGTGAAAATCAGTCGATGCTTTCATGGGCCATCTGAACCTTGTCAAACATGCCAAGGGCAGCTATATTGAAATCTATTAAATGATTCTGAATCAGTTAACTGTCCTTGTTATTGTACATTTAAAAATTTCTAGATTTTTTTTTTTTGCTGAGGTTAAAGGCATAATGCGATTGGACATAACTTTCTCAACACCTTGTGTTATTCACTATTATGATTACATATGCTTCTGGTCCATTCATGCCAGAAAATTAAGAGGGAATTGAGGAATTAACCCCAGTGAAAACAACATCAAAGAGACACATATGAATGGTGAAGTTCAGTTTTCTCTGCAAAAGGGTGGTGCTTTGGCTTTCCTTCTGAGTTATCCTATGTCCTCAATGTCTAGTGTAGAATGAAAAATGTTCATCTTCTGAAGTGAGCTTCCTTACAGACGCAGCAAGGAATCAGGATGATCTCAGTCATATCCAGGGTTTCATCCTGTATCCTATGGCCTTCTGGTCTTGCTTTCACATTTAAAATTAGATTCCCTTTCAAGTAAATGAAATTGTATTAGGAATTAAAGGGAAGCAGAGTCCACTCATCACTAACCCATGAGACTTTGAGAAGTGTGAGATCAAACCTTCTTTGACGAACTGCAAGATATTCTTCAGCTAGTCACTACAAACAGGAGACAGAATAAATAGTTGGTACTGATCCTGAGCAATCTGATTAGCTCATCTTGGCTGGAATTATCTTTCTCTGTTCCTATCTGGAGTAGCATGTATGCCAGTGGTCCTTTTGTACTTGGGATGTTGAAAGATATGATGCTTTCTTGTATTCTCTGATAATCACAGAAGAGAAGCATAGAAAAGATTGAAAAACTTTTTGAAGGAAGTTGCTAGCAGGGTGCTTTGTAAGACATCTGATGCATCATGAGCTGCTCTCAAAGTGCTCGCATTTATTCCTATGAGATTGAGTCTGTCGTAAAATCTTTGAATCCCTTGACATCCCTTTATCATTTTGTCAATAAAATAATGGATCTCAGTTCCACATAGGCCTTTGATGAGATCCTTCATCTTATTGCCAGCCACACATTCCATGGTATTTGTTTTAGACTGAAAAGTGAAGTCAGAGTGTAATTAGAGGGTTGTTCAACAAAATGTTGAACAGCTCTGAGGATGCCAGCCCCTCTACTCCGTTTGCATAATGCAAATGCGTCATGCATCAATCATGCACTGATTTTATCTGTGCATCTAACCATGATCCTAAGCAGGTTTTCCATGTAAAGATGTGCCATCTCAATTGAAATATGTACTTTTTCAACAATTGAGTGGTTGATTTATCACGGTGGAACAAGTTCCCTCAATATACATGTTCTTCAAGGATGTTAACTGCATCAGTAATTTTGACAGTTCATCATGCTATGTGAGTCTCTTGTCTTGCCCTGCGATGTGTCAATTATTCATATTTCTTGACCTTGAGTTCTTCTAGATGCTATGGCTTCACTTGGAATTCTTGACCATTATTCATTCATGTGAGGGTCACACAAGACAATCTACCTTTCTGCTTGAATTAACATAAGTTAAAGGTCATGACTATTTTAACACCAGCTAATACCATTAAGTTTTCCTGTTTTTGCTGCCCTGCATTTTGGAATGGATGTGACATCTGCTGAATGAATATGTCACAACAGCTTGAGATAAGCATATCTTGAACAATGCTGTCGGGAGATGGCATTCTTCAAAGGGTGGAATGGAAAAATCAATTTATAGAGGCAGTCAAGATGTATTTGGAGATTTCCTCATGAGAATCATTTTCTATATCAGCTTTATTGACATTTAAATATATTTTTCTTTACTTAGCGTTGTATTTGTTGTATATCATGATGTGCCAGCTGTTAGGTCCATTCCTACCTATGTAACTGTAAGCCTCTAGATTCTAAATATTATTGAGGCCACTATTAAAATTTTGATTTGGAACTTCGTCAGGAGCATTTGAATTTGGTTTCCACATTTTATAGTTAATACGGGTAGGATCTCGCTTTTCAGCTTGCTGGGGCGCAGACGACACGAGAATGATGGAGAGCACGATGTTGTTGGTGATTGTGTCCCGATCATCGGATACACCATCCAAGAAGTCGGCAGTCGTTTCATCAAGAGGTTTAACGCACACCAGAAAGAGCTTCGCGCTCGCTTCGAGGAAAGCGAGTTCTCAGGATCGCCTCTTTCATCCATCATGGCATCCCTCAACATCTCCATCGATGAGATGCTGAGAAAGGTGACTGAGGGTGCTGAACCTCGAGACTTCATAAGGGCCATCATCAAGTCAGATGGAATGGATCATGCCATATCTACCAAAGTCACCAGAGTTGAGGACATGAGTCCTGAATTGATCCTGACTACGGTTACAGAACATCTCCAGTCCAACAAAGAACTTGAGTTGAATGGGTCTTTCACTCTGGATTTCCTGCTTGTATCTTACTGTCAGGGTGGCACGGGTTTGCGGATAATCAATCCAGAAATAGACAAAAAAGTCAAGAGATCGATTGTCCAAATACAAAATGAAGATGATCTTTGCATGGCAAGGGCGATCGTTGTGGCCCTCGCAAAAGTCAATGTTGACCCTAAGTGGAAGTCCATCTGTGACTCACGACGCCCCATGCAGGAAGAGCATGCTCGAAAACTTCATGAAGAGGCAGGCGTACCATTAGGGAAATGCGGAGTCGAGGAGGCTCGACAGTTTGCAGATCATCTAGGAATCCAAATAAATATTGTCAGCTTGGAAGACGGTAATAAGATCGTTAACCGCAGCCCTAATAGAGAGAAAAGGATCTATCTCTGGAGACGCCAGGTACAGGATGATGGGCATCATTATGATGTCATCTCCTCCATGCCTGGATTTTTGGGAAGAAAATTTTACTGCCACTATTGCGATAAAGGATACGAGAAGAAATGGAAGCATCAGTGTGAGTACCACTGTAGTACATGTGGGAGAGATAACTGCTTGCAGAAATCCAAAACTTTCCAATGCCCACAGTGTAATAAAATTTGTCGAAGCAAAGCTTGCATGAAGGAGCATAAATCCACCTGCGGTAGAAGCTGGTACTGTCGCACATGTCAACATATCTTTGAGACAAAACAGTTCCCTCGAGACAAACATCGGTGTGGCGACCATGTCTGCAAGGGATGTAAGAAATCCGTCGATTCCAATCATCTATGCTATCTTCCAAAGAAGGACATGAAGCCTTCATCTGACAAATACATATTTTTCGACTTTGAAGCCGATCAGTCGAAAGGTGGACTGCATGTGGCCAACTATTGCATTGCACAATATTTCAATGGGGAAGAGAAAATCTTTTCCGGTGATGACACCGAAGATAAATTTGGCGGATGGCTCTTCCAAAGAAAACACAAGGGTTTTACAGCTATAGCTCACAACATGAAATCATATGACGGATACTTTCTACTATCCTACCTTCTCAGGATTGGGTTGACCCCGAAAGTCATAATGAATGGTGCCAAAATCATGTACCTTGAGACACCAAAACCCAAACTCAGAGTAATCGACTCCTTCAATTTTCTCCCCATGGCATTGTCTAAGCTCCCATCTACGTTCGACTTGAGAACCATCTCGAAGGGATATTTTCCTCACTTGTGGAACGATCGCAACCACCAACGTTACGTAGGTTCTATTCCTCCTCCCGAGGCCTATGGATGCGATTCCATGTCGACACATGAGAGAGCGAAATTTTTGCAGTGGCATCGGACAAAGAAAAATGAGGGTTACGCCTTCAACTTTAAGGAAGAGAGGAAAAAGTATTGCCGCTCCGATGTCGACATCTTGAGGAGGGCATGTCTCAAGTTCCGCGAACTTCTGCTTCAGGAAGCAGATTGCGACCCGTTCCAGTACATCACCATCGCATCGATCTCCCATGCCATCTTCAGGCGTAAGTTCTTCGAGCCTAATTCCATCGCCATGGTCCTATCTCACGGGTATAATCAGGGATCATTTTCAAAGGCCAGCATCGAATGGCTCGACTTCATGGCCCACAACCAGCGGATCAGTATCAGGCACGCAATGAACCATCCAAAAGGTGAAAAGAAAATAAGATCTTTCAGAGTAGATGGCTTTCAAGAGAAAACTCGAACCGTCTTCGAGTTTCACGGCTGCTTCTTTCACGGATGTCTTCGCTGCTACCGCCCCAAAGACGTTCATCCGTTCCTCAATCTTCCGATGAACGTTTTACATAAGAAAACAGAGGAAAGACGAAAGGAGTTAGAAAACTTGGGTTACGAAGTCATAAACATCTGGGAGTGCGAGTGGAAGGAGAGGAAGAAGAAAGACGACGTGAAACAGTTCCTGGAGGGACACGAAGTGGTCTCCCGACTCGACTGTCGCGAAGCCTTTTATGGGGGAAGAACAAACGCCGCTGTCCTCAAGTATGAAGTCAAGGGAAGTGAAAGAATCAAATATATTGACTTCACCTCGCTCTACCCTTACACCAACAAATACTGTGAATACCCGGTGGGCCACCCTGTTATCATAACTCGGGACTTGAGGCCTGAGAATGTCGATACCTACTTCGGCTTCATAAAATGCCTCATTCTGCCTCCTCGAAGACTCTATCACCCGGTACTTCCATACCGGAGCAACAAGAAACTGATGTTCCCTCTCTGCCGGACCTGTGCAGATAACAGGCAGCAGGAGCCTTGTCGGCATTCCGACGATGAAAGAGCCATACGAGGAGTGTGGGTGACGGAAGAAGTGAAGAAGGCTATGGAGATGGGCTACGAAATTAAGAAAATCGATGAAGTTTACCATTTCCCTAATAAGTCCAAGGATCTTTTCAAAGGTTATATTGACACATTTTTGAAACTGAAGCAAGAGGCAAACGGCTGGCCAGCCAAATGCTCCACAGAAAAAGAAAAGGACAAATACATCAGACGTTACGAGCAGCGTGAGGGAATCAAACTAGAAAAGGACAAAATAGCGAAGAATCCGGGATTGCGAGCTGTCACAAAATTGGCTCTAAACTCGTTTTGGGGGAGGTTCGGAATGCGGGAAAATTTGAACCAGACCACATTTGTGAAGAGCTCTAAAGACCTGAACCGCTTCCTTGCCGATCCCAAGAAAAACATCAAAGGAATGAATATCATCAATGACACTGTCATGGAAATCACTTGGACCCACAAAGACGAGCACCTGCCCCAGCGAACAGATACGAACATTTTCATTGCTGCCTTCACTACATGCCATGCCCGTTTGAAATTGTATTCCACCCTTCAACAATTGGGCAAAACCGTCTTATACTATGACACGGACTCCGTCATTTACATCAGTGATGGGAAAAACGATCCGCCTCTGGGAGATTTTCTGGGGGAATTCAAAGACGAATTGGAGGGTGACCACATCGTCAACTTCATATCGGGAGGGCCAAAAAATTACGCCTACAGGACTTCAGGCGGGAAAGAGTGCCTGAAGGTCCGGGGATTCACCCTCAACTACTCGGCCTCCCAAAAAATTACATTTGACGTCATGCACCGCCTCGTGTCAACCTTCCGGCCAGCAAAGACGGGAGCCAAGAGGAGAAAGATCGAAGAGGAAGATCGAATAACTGTCATCAACCCAAATAAGATCACTCGCGACAAGAAAGGGAAAAGACTGATCACCAAGGAGGAGAGGAAAAGGTATCAGGTCGTATATGACAAGAGGGTCATTCAGCCTGATTTCTCTACCTTGCCATATGGCTTCTGATTCACATACCATCTCTGTGTCATCCACCAGGTCTCATCATCCGATTACCTCTGTGAGTTTCGTTTCTATGACGCGTGATTCGTTCTCATTCCAGTGGTCTTAAAAAAAATTTTTTTTTGCCTTTTCAGGTCTCCCAGAAGCATCACCCCCTAATTTTAGAGTGAAATAAAGTGAAAACTATTTTTCAAAGGTTCCTTTCTTCAACCTAAACCCTCATCCCAAACCCCCCCCCCCCTCTACGGGCACTAGCTCGGGGGCAGTCTCTAGAACCGGACTGATAGGCAAATGGGCTCTCCTGTTACATTCATTTCCTCTCGTACGGTTGCGAGTGTACGAGTGGAAGGAATGGATGAAAATTTGACTTACCATCTCTATATGCTTCAGAATAAATTGCTGTGATTACTGTCCGTCAATATATCATTCAGTTCTAATGTTCTTTATGTTCCCTCATTTTGTTACACATTTTTTTTATCGATGTAAAAAAGCATTTAAAGCAGTTCTTCAGCGAATATTATCCAGTAATTTCTTCCTTTCCACGTGCGTCAGTTGGAACTCCGCGACAAGTGACAAACCGAATAAGACATGAGCCTGTCTTCAATTCGTTACAGCGGATTATTGGAATTGGGTATGAAAAGAGAAGAAACGCCAGAGCAGAAAATTCGGAAATCCTCCTTTTAGTATTTCCTGCCTTGAAATGAGCAAACAAGCCAAGAAAACCGTTGAAGAATGCTTCCCGACTTTCTTCGATGAACCACGCAGCTTATAGCAGCAATGATTTGAGGGAAAACAGAAGCCCCATTGAAAGAATGAACTGTCATCCTGTCTGGGATATAGCAATGAACCTAAGCTAATGCAAGTTTTTGGCTGGAGTTCAGATCATCTCTGACTACTCCCATATGAATTATCCATAGGAAAGGGTTAAGCACTTTCATGACAGCACTGGACATGATGAATATCTCCCAATGTACATCGCCGGGCGAACGTCAGATGCCACGCGTACCTTGCCATTTCCAGTGCTATGGTATTGTGGTTCCTGCTACAGTGGGTAAACACAACATGCAGTTCGCACGAATAAAGCCAAGTGATTGGTACCGAAATTCATCCGCTCCACGATCGCCCAAGCATCTCCTCTCGAGAGCATGGGGTTTTCAGTGCTCGCCTCATCTTAGAAGCTCAGAATCGCTTCATCCTGGAGATAGAGTGTCGATAAATGTGTGGTCCCGGCAATCTAAATCTTGGGATATGTATCGGACATTAGCGTAGCAACTTAGGGCAGAACAAGACCGGAGCTACAGCAATACATTGAACTGAAACAGGGTACTGAAAAACTTCTGCCCTTCTCGTCCTCTCGAGGATAGACGAGGAGACTATGATTCTGCGCGAACTCATCCGGGAACGGTAACATCTCGCTCATCTGAACCTCAGCCTTTGTTTCATCTCGAGCATCTGTACCATCAGGCAAAATCGAGTGCCCGCGTTGACAGAGGTCCAGGAAAGCTTTGGAAATAGGAGGTGAGAAGCTTGCGAATACAAAGGCGGCAGAGAGAAGCCTGGTCGGTTCGTGGCTTTAGTTTGAAGTTGATCGATCGCCATCGATTGGGCCTCACCCTGAAGAATTCCCAATCAACCGTAGTTTGCCCTTCCATTCTGAAGATGGCGAGACGAGTGAAAATTCGTTTCCAATCACAATATAATAGAGGTGAGAGTTTGAGTAGAGGCAACACTCTGCTCGAATCCCAATCATTGACAGGGTCGTAATATGGATGTCGCAGTCGATCCTTCAGCTAGCGTGGGGACGAATTGGAGGGTAACCACATTGTCAGCTTTTCATTGGGCGGGCGAAAAAATGACGCCTTCAGGACTTTAGGCGGGAAGGAGTGCCTGAAGGCCCCAGGTTTCACCCTCAACGACGCAGCCTCCCAAAAAATGACATTCGACACCATGGTATCGACCCTCCGGCCAGCGAAGACGGGAGCCAAGAGGAAAAAGATTCAGGAGGAAGATCGTATTATTGTCATCAACCAACATAACCCGTGACAAAAAAGGAAAGAGGCCGATCAAGGAAGAAAGGAAGAAGTATCAGGTCGTATATGACAAGAGGATCGTTGAACCCGATTTCTTCACCTTGCCATACGATTTCTGATTCACAGACCACCCCTTTGTAATCCACCAGGTCTCATCGTCGTCGGATTACGTCGGAGAGTTTCGTTTCTATGAATTGTAGGGAGAAATTTGCGCAAAACTATTTCTTTTTCCTTTCTTCGACCTGAACCCCCCCCCCCTCCCCTCCCCCCACTTGAAGGAAGGGACGAGCTGTAGTATGTCTGCTTACGATATGGAAGCGTTTTTCCAATTCTCTACAGTTGCATTGACCGCATCTGTGAAGGTTCCAATCATAATCCTGAATGGATCACGAGATCCATCACTCGACAGTGCTGCAGCTGCCCTGGTATTTTCTTCAGCCTATATGAGAATTCTAGTGCCTGAAGTGTCTATGTTGAACATGATGAGGGATGGTGTGCCATTGCGAGCAGAGGCTCGTTTCTGGTTACGACACTATTCGTGTGATAAAAAAAATTGCTTCCTTGCTGAAATATTGGTTAATCTTGACGACATATAAGAAGGAGATACTCTTGAAACTCTCTTTGATGTATGAAAATGTTCAAAACAAGTGAAAATGAGCTTTGAGCCGTTCACTGACCTGATCATCAACCAACTCCGTAACCCAATTGACTTGTGCTTGTTTCGAGAACTAAAGAGGTCGCTTCGTGGGTACCACTATCTCTCTCGTTGTTCTCACGGACGTGCGATTTGGCAGTGGTTCCTACATACCCCTAAAGATACGTTCACCCAGTGCTACCTAATGTGGATGAACTTATGCCAGTCCTGAATGGAGAAGCGGGGGAGCAAAGTTGAAAAGTTAATGGCATAAATCGGAGAGCCACAATGTCTTCGTTTCGTCGAACGACTATACAAATTTGTGACTGCCTCCCTTGCTTCTATTGAAGAATATCCGCTTCGGGGGGGGTGAGGGGAAGGGGCACAGATGACTTTCCATCACTAGAGCAGAAAAGTCGACTGATGGCCCCTAAACGGACGAGAGACCAAGTTCTAAGAAAAGGTGAGATAGACCACGGATGCAGCTGTGGTCGTTCTGGACGGGTCGGTACTCGAAAGCCTTCCCTTCGGCATCCGGGAGTCGGAAGCTGCCATCGTCATCGGAAAGAGGCAGCTGCTCGTATTTCTGTACCAGGAGCTGGGAAACGAATTCGCTTTCAGGGTGTCCCGTGGGCTGATCGGTGCCTCACACCACCAAACACGGCCCTTTTTTCTTACATTGGTC